TAGCCATGTTTGAGCCTTCAATGAATGATGATTTTTTTTTCTCGAAAAACCCATATGATAACCGAGCCACAAAAAAAAAATTACACTTAACATTCCTTGCTATCCAATTTTTTTTTTGCACCCTCTTATAAATCGGTATGACATAGAAAGGCAAAAAAAAAAAGAAAAAAAAATTGAAAGAAAGAAATATCATTTCTAGGCAAAAGACTGAAAAGCAAGAAAGAGGTGTGCTACATTAAAAAAGGGGATAGCTTTTGAATACCATTGACATCGTTTCATTAGCCACTAACCTCTGGCCACATTACAACCTATAGAAAGTCCTAATTGATCTCAAGTCTAATGCATGTGTGTGTTGTCGACCGAAAACTAGGGTATGTTAAATAATATTTCTTTAATTACATTGATATTCTTCCATGAGATTATGCTAAGAACATGATTAGCCTACTTTCTTAAAACTTTCACTCCCTTTCTAACTGTGCATGTGATTCTTCGATTGACCATCCTCTGATCACATGCCCTTTGAGAGACAAGTGTTTATAATCGGAGTGAATTTTTTTTTGTTGAGAGCATTCTAAGAGAGATTTGAGAAATCAAAGCTATTCATGGAAGGTGATAAAGTAGAATGTTTGTTATATAACAATTCTTGCTACTAGAATGATCATTCCTACTACACAAGGAATTCCAAATACCAATGTAACAAGTGTTTATTTTTGTATAGAGTACGTACCAATGACAGAGAAGTGTTCGGGAAACAATTCAAAAATTAAGAAATGTGTGCCTCAATGATTCTGTTGCTAACTCATTTTGACAAGAAATATTACATATACACATCTTTTAATTGGAGTTTGTAGGTAACTTCACTAGAAATCTTCACGAGACAAAACTCGTCCACTAGGGATCACCTAGGGGTTTAACGGCTTATTGTATATGCTAAATACAATCGTGTTATCTACGAAAGTGATTTTATTTTGTTATGTTGTTTATTATTAGGGACTAGTAATATTTAGGTTGGGGGGTGTGATTAACCCTAATTAAGACATAATTTAATAGGTAAATTGTGTTAGTTGAATAAAGTTAAACTAGTCAAAATAAATCAAATTAGAATTAGTGTGTGAATAAAGGATAATGCATTAATTGTTGTTCTTTTTAGGATTTTGTGCGTCAAAGCTACAAACTACTGGGGAGCCAATTGCATTAAAGTTACAAACTACTCGGGTGCCAATTATCAAAGCTCAAAACAAAGGGGGATCAAAGAATTCAAGGCCACCTAACAAGATTTTCAAGTCCACCTAATAAGATTTTCAAGTCCACCTAACAAGATTCAAAGCCACGTAACAAGATTTTCAAGTTCACCTAACAAGATTCAAAGCCGCCTAACAAGACTTTTCAAGTCCACCTAACAAGATTTAAGGTCACCTAATAAGACTTTCACCCTCCCTTGTTGCCTATAAATACCACCCCTTAGAACTTGTAAAACATTCATCTTTTGGTAGTGAAAAACCCTCCAAAAGTATTATTGCTTTCCTTATTGCTTATAGCTTTCTTTAAGTATTGCTTTCTTTTATTGTATTCTCACTTCCTTTTAATTTATAGCTTTCTTTTACTTTAAGTATTGCTTTCTTTTATTGTGTTATTGCTCTTTTACTACCATTGCTTGAGTTTCCTTCTTCCCTTAGAGGAGTGAAACTCTTTCACTTTTCTAGAGCTTTACCAAAGCCGTGAAGGGTGGAACGTGATTCACTCATTCTTTGTCGAAGATCGGCTCCTTGTGTAAAATGTGTTACCTTGTAACTCCTCTACTTGGAAGGATGAGCATCACTCACTTTTCTAGTTTTAACAAAGCCATGAAGAGTGAGTAGTTTCTCATCCAATCTTTAGTAAGAGGTGGTTATCCGGAAGTTAAATTTATGCAATTTGTTTATGCTTAGTTTTAGTCTTTATTTTTTTCATAATGTCTTCTCATCATATTGTTGTCTTTATTTTAAGCATGAATAGCTAAATCTCTTAGTTGGCAAAACCAAGAGGAACCTCCACTTGGGTATACCATTTCAACTCATTCTCCTCCCCTCTTTTAGAGTTCAATGGTTTGGTTTAACTGGGTTGAGGGTGGATAACTTGGTGAGTCTTTGATATTCCGTAGGCCTAGTCACAATTTATGCTTAGATACTCACTAATCTTACCCCTAGCTTCCCACGAATCAATCGTTCACTCATGCTCTATTGGAGGAGGGTTTCGAGTTGAGACAGTATTCCTATTAGAGTGACCTCTTGGATTTGCCAACATTTGTTTCTCATTTTACTAGCATCAAAACAACTTCACCAAACAACTTCCAACAATTAAAGATTTTACACTTTCTTTCTCCCAAAATCACCTCTCCTCGGTTTACTTCCTTCCCCGTGGAAACGACCTTGGAATACCACCAAGTTAAACACGATCCATGAAAGTCTCCTTGCGCTTGGGGAGCACTTTTGTTCACACATACTCACATTTGAAATTTCATTCATCCACCATTCTGTTGCCCTTTCTTTTGACATCATCCCTAGGAGAGTGACACTCCCTTTATTCATATACTATACATGCTAAAAGGTGATGTTTATAGGTTAGGAAACAACAAGGAAATTTGTACCATCCTCTATAATAATCTCAAGTACATCAACAACAGAGGAGAACAAAATAATCACATTTATGAGAGTGTCATAATGTGAGCCCCAACGTGTATCACCGGCCCTTTGAAGACTACTTTCTTGATGCAAACCACGCCCACTTGATAACTCTCCATTGTTTAGTGTTTGAATAACCTTACTAGCTCGATTTTCTCTTAAAATATCTCTTCGTTTGCAAGAAGCTCCAACAACATTCAATAAATTAGCAACAATATTGAAAAGCAATGCAATTTGATTGTGATTTTTTGCAATAGACACAAGTGTGAGTTGAAGTTGATGAGCAAAACAATGATCACAAAAAACAGATCTATACTCTTTTATGATGAGATTTTTGAGACTATTAAATTCTCCCCTCATATTACTGGCTCCTTCATAACCTTGTCTACGCAATCTCGAAAACTTAATCCATGCTTTGAGAACAATGATTCAATTGCCGCTTTAAGTAATAAAGCATTTGTATCAGTAACATGTACTATGCCAAAAAAACGCTTAGTGATGCGTCCTTTTTTATCCACATAGCGCAACAGAACCATCATTTGCTCATTAACTGAAATATCACGGGATTCATCTACTAAAATAGAAAACAAATCATCTCCAAGATCATTGATTATTGCACATGTGGTTTCACTTGCAATAACGTGGACAATATCCTTTTGAATGTCTAGTGTTGTCACTTTGAGATTTTTTGGAGCATTTTTAAAATAACATTGTTGATGGTTTCATTGTGCTCAGCAAGAAATCGTAGAAGTTCAAGAAAATTGCCTTGATTTTTTTAATCCTCAGACTCATCATGACCACGAAATGCTAATCCTTGACGTAAAAGGAATCGAACACAATCAATTGCTGCAGTTAAACAAACTTGATACTCTTTTCAAGCTTGATTTGATTACTTAGAATAAGCAACTTCAATATGTTGCTTCTGATTCATTAGATTTTGGCACTTTCTCTGATTTTCATTATGAGCACTATTTGGACCCCCCAACATGAATTTGAAATCTTTCTTTCTTCTTCCAGTTACGGAATCCCTCTATAATGAAAGAGTCACCACCCCTTGTTCTCTCATATCACTTCTCATTAGATAGCAACATAAGCAATAAGCGGCATCTTTTTTAATGTTATACTCCAACCAACTACTAAACTCGTTGAACCAAGATGGACTAAAGCGACAACACAACTTGCCGAATTTTGTTTGGGAAAAATTATGTTCACGGGGTTGACATGGGCTTTTTTGTAGATATGCTCTCCGAATTTCATCCCGGTCATTAGGATGATAATCTGAAATTCTAATTTTAGCCCAGGATTTGCAGGAAGATTTTCTAAACTAACTCCTTCACGACTTTGATTAGAACAATGTCGTATGTCACCACCACGCTCATCTATTTCTTGACTAGGAGACGGTTGTTCCAATGTTGATTTTCTTATAAGAAACTTATCCATAGTTGATTGAAAAATAAATTTGCCTAATTAGATTCAAGTTTAAGAGTTTGTCATTAAGTTCGTAACAAATGAGATAAAAATCTACACATAATTAAAATATAATCCATAAATCCAAAATATAATTCAAACTAGAATTTCAAGAAATCAATTAAAGTAATTTAATCATAGGGAAGAAAAATAGCACTAAACAAGAATCTCAGATAGCCAATCTGAATAAGGGCTTCAACAAAAATTCAAAATAGTTGAGTGGTGACCCAAAACGAAACAAAAAAAACTATATAAGTTCATAAATAATACACCAAACAACCATTAATTCTACAAGAACTAAACTATTTTTCTAATATAAAAAATTTGATTTTAGATTAGTGCTAATACTATTATTAAAAAATTTGGTTAATGGATTACCTCTCCTTAGCTTTAACATAATCTTCTAGGGTTTCTTCAAATTTGATTTGCACAATGATTGAATCTAATAGGCTGGTTTGTTGATGAATACGCTAAAGAAATTAATAAACTAACAAAGAAACTAAATAAAATAGGGAAGAGGGCTGGACACTGGACTGGACTGGTATTCTCTCTCGAAGAAGACAAAGTAAAGGCTTACGGGAAAGTGAAAAAGTAGGCGTGAAAAAGAGAGCAACCCAAAAGTTAGGTTGAAAATTGTATTAATATACCCTATATTTTAAGAAAGTTTCAATGGGGTCAAGTTTAAGAAAATCTTGAAATTTTTAAACTTCCACTTAGGTCCCAAAATTTTTAAAATTTTTAGTGGGGGCAGCTGAAAATTATATTAATATGCCCTATACTTTGAGAAAATTTTAGTGGAGTCAAGTTTAAGAAATTCTTGAAATTTTTAAAATTACACCTAGGTCCCAAATTTTTTTAAAATTTTAGTGGGGGCAGCTACCTCCACTGCCCCCATACTAAATCCGTCACTGATTGTATCTAAAAAATAATGTTATTACTTTTTTGTTTTCGGGTATAAAAAATATGTTAAAATCCGTTTGAACAATGGGGTTTGTAGAACCCTTTTTGAAAAACAAGGAAATTAAAGAAGGATTTTAGAGAATAAGTAAAAGATGTTTTAGGTGTTTTGAAGAGAAAAGAGGGCAAAATTTTAAAACACATGGAGGACACTATTATCTTTTTTACTGTGCACTTAAGTACGTTGTATAAAAGCCCTTTTTTTTTCTCTATTCCCGAAACATTTCTCTGCAATTCTGTCTCTCTCCCCGATGGCCAAAGAAGACTCCAGCCTTCCTCTTCACTGCCACCCCTGCAACTGAGAGCTCTTCGACAAAGCATCCTCGATTGAGCAGACATGTATTGCTTCGGATCTAAAGACCCACAACTCAACGACAAGCTGCAGTAGATCTGTGGTGTTGCAGGTCTGTGTTATTGTATATCCATGAAGCATCCTAAATCTGGTTACTGTAGGGCCTTCGATCGATCCTCCAAGGAGATTTTTTTATTGTTTGTTGTAGATCTGGTGTATACCAGATCTTGTTGTTGTAGATCTATTGCCAAATAATTGGCTATCGGATATTTTTTTTTTTTGGTCAGACAACCTCATGGTTTTTGTGTTGATTCAAAGAACCTCATGCTTGTTCTATTTTTTGATTTTTCAGTCCAATTTTGACTTTTTTTCCCAAACAAGTTTTTTGTTTTCTGTTTCTTAAAAATATTTTTTAGAATCAAATAACTAAACAAATGTTGCTATACAAAAATACCAAAATACATTTTTTTTTAAAAAAAATTAATATTATTTTTTGAGTTGTAATCCAAATAGAATTTGCAAAAATTTTAAACCAACTTAAAGGAAAGCAAGCCAAAAGGTAGAAGTCTACATGTGAGGATTTTTTGGGCTTTAGATCATGTTTACACCCATAATACTAAAATCTTAGGATAACTCATGAAGGTCGGTGAGAGTCCAAGCCCAATAGGGCGGTTAAAAAAGTGGGACTCTAAATGTGTGACATCATGAACAGTCAATTATAGACGATTCAGTGTATGTTCGCATACTTTGAGGGAAGAGATCATAATTACAGTCATGGATGGAAAAGATGACTTCGATAGGTAAGGGTTATCTCTTATAAACACTGAAGGTAAGACTACGGATAAAAGTATCCCTCAATCAACACAAAAACTTTACACATAGTCAAATTTTTTTTTACTTAGTTTATTTCCTCGCAAATTTATTTTGACCTGTAATTAATCACTATGGTGATTTTATTTTCCGTTTAATGTTTAAGTATAGTATTCTTTTCATATATAAAGTTTTCATGTTACTTTACATTCTATTTGTCTATCTACATTCTAGTCCATTCCATTACCAGTTGGAAATTGTTTAAGTCCTCGATCTCCAAGGCATAGAAAAGAGCTAAAATGTAACATTACACCTCGCTACAATTGCCAAAATAATCACGATTTAAATATCTAACATCGGTTCAAATAAGTAAGGTCGTACGTACTTGGATGTTAAGTTCAATCAGACTTTAGCACACCCACAATCCGAAAATACACCAAACATATTTTTTGGCACGCCTAATAGGACCCTAACTAACAACATGGCCAACACCCATGGAAAAGTCAAAATTGGCTCAACAGAAGTGCTTACAACACAAAGTTGTTGAAGAAGGCAGCTCTGGCATTCCCAACCTGCAAGAATAATTGCCTCCACTTGGGGGATAAGAAAATCGAGAATCCATATAATGCCCCAAAATCCACCTTGGACGGCATTACCATTTAAAATCATTCACATCATGAGAGCAACTAATAAAGTCCGTAAATAAGGTAAATTTTATTCATCATACATAATATCTACAACATTATGCAAAAGAATATGCCAAACCTTGGCATTTACATCCAAAAAGAATATGTCAAACTATGGTCATTACATCTCAAAATCACACTTACTCTTACAGCGGAATAAACAAAATCACATCTATCCATTTTATCAAAATGCATCTCCTAGTCTAGGACATGGAGAGATCAACTCTAAACTTCCCCCTCGAGATCCACACTTCCATCCAATTGTGCTTTCCAAGCTACCTGCTCATCAACTCTAAACTCTTCATTTAAATCGACATCTGAGAATAAATAGTATTTATAGGGGGTGAGTACTAAGCTCTGTAGCAACATCCTCTCAAACTTGAACAAGGTTTAGAAAACATATAAAAATAGTTCGGTCTCACTTTCCAAAATATCATATATAACTTGAAATAAAACAGTGACAATTTATTTGATTTCAAGTTAACTCAATAGCAATAAGTTAACTGAAAGGAATAAATATGTGAAGAAATTAATTAATCATTCAATAGCATCATCCCATATTTTCATGTATGTTGGTTGCTTCCTATGAATCTACACAACGATTCTACCTTGTTCACCCATCATAACCACACAAACCACTTTAGGAAAGGCGTATACTGTCTCTCACGGCATTGACGAATCCTTCCAAGGAAATGTATATCATCCCTCAGTCTCGAACTTACGTGAACAATAGTGGTTGCTCTCACAAACAACAATGCACTACAAGTGTTAGGTAACCATCTCACTCCCACTACGATAGACTAACCTCTAACACTCTACGGCAGTTCTCGAATGCAATTCAAGTTCATCACAACAAACCATACAAGATGCAAGAAATACAATATCAGCCAATTTCTCAAATCACAAGTAAATTCAAAACCCCCAATTTCATAAGTATTTTTCCAACATAACAATTCAATAAAATAAGCAAGAGATCATCACAAGATAGATTTTTATTGTTTCAAGTCAAGCACTAAAGTTTTTGAATCAAGAACAAAAGGATATCTAGAAGAAAAATTCATTTTTCCCAAAGTTAGGTTTTTACATCAAGAACATGAATTTCTAGAGTTATCAAACCATAAATTCTTTCAAAACATGGTAAGGTTTGCAATAACATCAAGAATCAAGGATTCTATAACAAATATATATGATTAAGAGTCAAAACATATGTATATATAAGCCCTAGCATCAATGAACAAGAGTGGAAGAAAACCTCTACCTTCTCCTTCCTTAGTGTTCTTGAAAAACTTGAGATTTTAATCTACTTCAAGGAGAAAATTCCTCTTGATCTTGTGTTTTCTACCCTTCTTTCTTGTTTCTCAAAGCTTTCTAGGGTTGTAAATGGTGTATAGAGGCTAAATAAGGTGCCCTTTTGTATTTATAGGGTGAGAAGTGGCCTCTTGTGTGCGATTCTGAAAGTCAGAATTCGTAGCTCACGTTCGAACGTCATTGGCGTTTGAACGTCCTTTGCTCCCAGTACTTTTGTTTTTCCATTAGACAAAAAGTACTAGAACGTACTGTCATTCGAACGGACTTTCATGTTCAAATGTGGGTCGTTCGAACGTCATTTCACGTTCGAACGGATTTCCTGTTTCTACTGAAACTTTCAGTGAAGTTTTGGCCTACTTGGAGGTCGATTTGGAATATTTTCATGAAATACACTTTTTTAGCCCTAGAAGTATACTATCTACTGTCAAAATTTCAGATCAAATGAAAATAAGAATAAAAGGTTATGATCCAAACACTAGGCAGTGTCCAAAATCCTTTCTACCCAAATTTTGTCTAAAATGTGTTTTCACTCCGGAATACTTCAAAACTTCTACAACATGCCCTATTACCTCAACTAACATTTTTATTTCTACTCTTACAATCCACATAGTTCATGCATACATTATTACATATATTAGCATTTCAAAAATAATTACATTACTATATTAAGATAAGCATGTGGGGGCTTACAATCCGACTCAAAGCTGGAGACCTCAGTTAGCCCATTATCATAAGAAGTCTCATAGTAGGTGTCTTGATTCATTAATGGCATGGGGAACTTAATTAGAGAAGAATCTGGTTGCATCAGGCAGGGGCTAGAGCGGTTGTTTGATAGTCTGAACAGTCTAAGGGCACAAGGTTGCTACTGTTTCCCCCTCTACAAGTAGTATCAATGGAAGCACCACAACAAGTGCTTCCTCTATATGAGTCACACCTGAAGGCATAACAAGCCAAGAATGGTCATTAGGAGAAACAACAATACTCTTTTCTAGGAAGATATTTCCCCCAATCCTAAGTTCGTGGGGGTAAAGAAGGCATCCTCTGATTGTTCTACCAACGGTGCCCCAAGTGGTCATGAACAGGGATCAATTGAACAAAATTATTTAGGAACATGTCGGTCCTGCTATGAGGCATGTCAATAGGGAGTATGAGTATCCTCGGGGGTATAACTTTCTAAGGAGAAGGCGGTCAGTCGACCGTTCGCTTTTGTAATACACCAACTCAAGGGTACAAAATCTATCAAAAATGATAAAAGAAAGCCCATACATTTAATACATAAACCCTATTTCCTGTACACACTGTAACGTAACACCCCTACCTAGGCTGCAAAACATATCCCAAGTAGTTAAGCAATGCTTAATATTTGAAAACACAACAATGGTCCTTGTGTACATGCTAGATAATCCTACATACACATATATGCAAAAAGTAGCTTCCTAAAACAAGATTGGAGTTTGACGGTACACTCTTAAGTAGTTGACTCACCACAACTCTTACTTTATTTACAAACCACAAAAGAATATTTACAACCCAATATTTACAAATACTCTATGGCATACAAAGGACACGAAGACCCTTAGGTGACATCATAGACGGCCATCTAACTCGGCAATGGACTCCTTATGTCACTACTAGTTCTTGAAACCATTAAGAAGTTTTTAGTAAATGTGCAAACATAACAAGATTAACACAAGCATGTTCCAAAAATTAAAAAAAGACATTCTTAGTTAGAATTTTGCAAATTTTAAAAAAATAAGTGTTAACACGGCTATAACATCACACAAAAATCCACTACACCACATCGGTGTTATTCATACCTACCACACAGGCAAATTACCGTCACATAGGCTCAACCAAAACCCAGTCATTAATAAAATTCAATAACCAACAAGTGGTATAAAGAAATGTAAGGTTAAACACTTACCTCCAAGTTGGAGTCTACCTCAAAGTCGATCCCTCGATTGGGCCTTTTAGAGAGACGTTCTCTGATGTAGACGTTTGTGAACCTGCCACACATATAATTATAATTGCATTCAAGCATTTTACATGTAACCATTAATATCCTTAATGCTTTATTCATATATCTGTATTCGCACTCACTCCAACATAATTTGTATATTATTAAGCCCGATCTAACTCCTTCCCTAAGCTTAAAAGTTTTTCTTTTTATAGTCAGTGTTTAAATCGTTCTTACATTGAATATATAAAGAGGTTAAATTCACCATTATAGAGTAATTTTCGACCAAAAGCGAGTCACGATAAGCTCTACGGATCCTTGATAATTAATTCGAAACTCTTTTAAGAACCCATAAATAGTCTATTCAAACCTATTAAAATAGTGTATTCGAACTAAATAAAATAATCTACTCGTACCAAATTAATGTTCTCGAACATTACTCTACATTTACATCATTCACATGCTTAAGTCTAATTCATTCTCATGGAATTATGAAAATACAAAAGCATACTTGAATCTAATTCATTCTTATGGAATTTATGGAAATTCAAGAGACAATTCTTAT